CATGGAATCCCAAGCAGGCTCCAGGCTGTGAGCTGTCAGCACAGAGCCCAGCACGGGGCCCGAACCCACAGACTGTGAGATCATGACCTGAGCTGAAGTTGGACCTTAACCAACTGAGCTGCCCAGGCGCCCCTAAACATTTTTTAATTGTGGTAAAAATACACATAAACTACAATTTACCATTTTAGCCATTTTTAAGCATGCAACTCAGTGGCATTAAATACATCCCAAATGTTGTACAACCATCACCACAATCTATTTCCAGAACTTTTTCATCATCCCAAACTGAAACTGTGGTCATTAAACAGTAACTCCCCATTCCTCCCTCCCCTCGGGTTCTGATAACCACTATGCTATTTTCTGTCTCTCTGAATTTGCTTATTCTAGACACCTGACCTAAGTAGAATCATACATTTGTCCTTTTGTGTTGAGCTTCTTTCACTTAGTGTAATGTTTTTAAAGGAGACACTGATTGTTTAAATTGCCTTTTTTTAAGAGCATAGGCACTGATTTTTATTGCATGTTAAAGGAGGAGTTGCATTTTATTGGAGAAAAAAGGGCCAAACAGGACAGGGTGGTTTGGTGTAGAGGCTCTTTATTCTTAAGCTTAATATGATCATTATACCCACTATTAATATATGGAGGGTCTTAATGTACTTAGGCAACCCAGTGTCTTTACACAGGTGTTTTTCGGTTAATGGTTAATGCTCCTGGTACCCGCCCCCCCCCAAGAGGCCTCTCCATATTTTATAGTCAGGATATGAAGACACGGGGATGCTCTGGGGATTAGTTAAATGCGTGTGGCATACTTTGCTGTATAAACTCACTCTCTGGAACAAGTTTTCGCTCCCTGCTCTCAACTTCTACAGCTTTTACTGTCAATCCCATTCATTTAGCACTTAGCATATGCTTGTTGCTTGTCTTTTTCTGTATATACCCTTGAAGGCAGGAGCCAAGCCTCATCCCTCTTTGTTTTTTCAGTCCGGTCCATAATAGGGGCTTGATCAATGTTTGTTGATGTTGGCCTCCCCCTCCCCCTCCCTTTTAAGTGGAGCTGGCAAAGCATAAGTTTAAATTCAAACCCTGTTTAAACAAACTGAAGGGTTTTCAGGGTGAAAACAAAAGGAAGTCTTGCGTGGCAGGAGAGAAGGAACACCTAAGACGCTTGAAGGCCTGGGCCAAGCCCAGGTACCCAAGAACCTGTTGTTTGCCACAGGCCTAAGAAGTGACTCACACATGGCCTGATCCACCATTAATTCAGGGCTCCCTCACTCTACTCCATCAGAATTCAAATTTGGACAACAGTAATGCCCGAGGCAGGATTTGAGGAGGGGGTATTAAAGGATTTCAGTGTTTTAGGAGTTTCCATTTCACGAAGGCCCCAGTAGCCGTAGGGAACACAGGCGTTTGAGGACAACTTCAAAGCTGGGGACAGACATTCTACAAACAGCCACCATGACTTTGCTTCTAGGATTTGCTTCTCAGCATTTTCTGTAATGGCAGAAAGATAGGAAATAGCCTAAATGGCCTCTCAATAGGGGCATGCATAAAAGAATTTGGGCACATTTGTGCAATGGGACACTGAGCTATCATGAAAAAGAACGAAAAGAACGAAGGTGAAGGAAGTTATCCTGTGATGGAAAGATATTTAAGAGACATTGTTGAGTAAAGAAATGCACGGTGCACTGTGATTGATGATCCCATGTGTGTGTGTATATATATACACACATTATATATATATATAAAATATATATATATTTAAAATATATATGTGTGTGTGTAAAAAATATATTTTGAGGGGTGCCTGGGTGAGTCAGTTGGTTGAGCGTCCGACTTCGGCTCAGGTCTTGATCTCACACTTTGTGGGTTCAAGCCCTGCATCGAGCTCTGTGCTGACAGCTCAGAGCCTGGAGCCTGCTTCAGTTTCTATGTCTCCCCCTCTCTCTGCCCCTCCCCAGCTCACACTCTGTCTCTCTCTCTCAAAAATAGATAAATGTTAAAAAGATTAAAAAACATTATTAAAAAATATATATATATATTTTAATATTCTACACAGGCATAGAGAGAATGAGAGAAAGGGACTATGAGAACAGAGTGGTAGAGTGGAACTCTACTCCATTCAGTACTGTTGTGATTTTATCATGTGCATATACTACATTTTCCATTTTATCAGCAGTGTTCATTTTAACAAGTATCCTCCTGTTGCTATTGTGATCACTGGTAGCCTGTAGTATATACCGACCCTGTCCAGCTCTGTTGGCCACCCCTCCAAATAACAGGGCTGGAATAGTCTTCCCTTCCTTCACAAACCAGATGCCTCCATGTCTTTAACACTCAAAATCATCTCACTTTCCCCATTAAAAATCACACAGGGCACCTGGCTCAAGTCATGATCTTGTGGTTTGTGGGTTTGAGCCTTGTGTCCTGCTCTAGACTGACAGTTCAGAACATGGAGCCTGCTTCGGATTCTGTGTCTCCCTGTCTGTCTGCCCCTCCCCGCCCTCTCAAAAATAAATAAACATTAAAAAATTTTAAAAATCACTGAAATAACTTCACCTCACACATAACCTGGGTTACACCAAGAATCTTTTCTTGCCCATGTTCCTGCTTCTGAAGCTCTGAGCAGCCCAAGCAAAGCACTCTGAACGTACAGGTTACCTCACAACATGCTACCAGCCTATTTCTTTTCCTGGACCCCATTATATTCTGGGACCTCGTTCACAGTGAGCTAGTGTCTCCTTTGAGCACATTCCCTCTTGTATGCCTTCATCTACAGTCTCTCAGAGGGCTCCCTTTCGGTAGGCTTGAATTGGATTTCCCATTTTCAGTGGCATGAGTTCATGATAATACCCTTGGATTGTCAAGGCCTTTACAGTTAGACTTGTTTCCTCCTTTTTTTTTTTTAAAGTGTTATTTGTTTACTTATTTTGAGAGAGACAGAGAAAGCATGTGGGTGCTGGGGAGGGACAGAAAGAAGAGGGAGAGAGAGAGAATCCCAAGCAGGCCCCACGTGATCAGTGGGCTGAGTCCCACTCTGAGCTGGAACTCATGAAACCCAGTGAGATCATGACCTGAGCCAAAATCAAGAGGCAGATGCTTAACTGAATGAGCCACCCAGGCGCCATAGACTCGTTTCCTCCTTGTAATGTTTTCTAGGAAATTTGGATCTGTGGAGAATGGTGACTACCATGGAGAGTGTTCCCTTGTGTTTGTTTTCTCAACTTCACTTCGGAGATACACAGCGTCATTTCCTCTTGCAGTCCGAGCGCCACAATAGATATAGGTTGCGGTGCCACTGCAGAATTGTTCAAAAGAGAAATCTCACCCAACTTTGTTAGAAAAGGGGTTAATTTATTATTCTAACTTCAGGGATCTAACTTCATATCCACCCTAAAAACTGTAGGAAAAAAGTTGACTTTAAAAAATAAAGCAGATGCTTAAAACAGATGAACAGAATAGTTGATTGTGGGACACAGGTGAGACTCTCCCTCCTGTGACATACACAAAAGTAGGAAGCCTAACATGTGTGGAGTGATCTGTGGTTTACAGAGTTTATACACATCACTCATTTTTATTTTCATATGCCAGTGTCACTAAGTTAATAGGGTGTGTCTTACAGCCGTTCTTCACAGATAGAAAGATTAAGGTTCAGTGAAGTTAAGCGACTTAATAGTGGCACAACTACCTGGTGAGTGCAACAGTCCAAAAGGAGTTCTTCCTTTAGTTCCAAATTCCATGTATTTCTGCTACCCGTACACTGCTGTTTCTTCGTGCTTTTGTTTCCCAGACGTAAAACGGTAGATTTTCAGTGTCCCCCGGATGCTGTTTTCAACCCTCTGTGTTCTCAGGCACCATCATTTTTTCGCAGCCCGGAAATGTGTCACATTGACACTTCAGGTACTTTTCCCCCCTCCTGGCTTAATGAATTAAGGGGGAAGAAAAGCTACCTATTCCCAGAGGGACGGACAGTGCCACAAAGGTGTACGGGAGCCACCGGACACACTGTCCCACTCTCTAAAGAGACTGAGAAACCAAGTGTCTCTTTCTTTTCTCAGCAATAGCTGGGGGAGAACGGAGAGCTAGACAATGGTCTCTTGTTTAGTTTTATTAATTTTAAGGGCGGGTGGGACAAAAAGATCAGATGGACGACGCAAGTGACCAATCCCGAGTGAATCCTAGGCCGGGATTCGCCAACCGGTAGCCGCAATAGAATGGTGGGTGGGACTTACTCTTTGCGGCCTGCTCCACCCAGGCCGGCCCTCCCAGCCCGCCCAAGAGGCGGAGACTCTGCGGAGCTCCGCCCACGCCATCCCGGCCGCCAGCGCAGCCCGCCAAAGGGAAGGGGGGCGGGGGTGGGGTAGGATGGGGGAGGCTGGGGGGAGTGGAGGAAGAAAGAAGGATGTCGCACAGAGCTGGGACTTGGGTGGGGGCCTGCTGATAATAGGAAGCAAGAGGGGAAGGGAAACGAAGGAGCGCTGCGCCTTCCTCCGTTATTTCGAGTCGACTGCGAGAAGCTGCTTTTCAGCATTTCTATTATTTGTGCTTCTTCCTCCTGCTGTGGGGCGGGTAGCAGCACTGGCTCCCCCACGCGACTCCGCTCCGTTGGTGTTGTACACTATTATTGTAGTCTTTGCAGAACCCTTTCCTTCCTCCCAGCCATTTCTTGAGTAGCTGCAGAACTACAGTAAGCGCGTAAGAGTAGAGCTAGGATCCCCCCGCTTTCGCCGGAGTGGCCGGACCCCGCCGTTCAATTGTTTGAAACTTCCCCGCCCCCAAGCCCCGCCTCTCTTCCGCCCCTCCGTTCCACCCCACCGACCCCCCCCCCCCCCGGGGTCCTGGCCGTCTCCCTCCCTTCTTTCCCCGCCCACTACTCCGCCCCTCTCTCTAGTCCACCCCCCGCTCCTGGGCGGTCCTAGCCGCTCACCGCAAGAAGAAAAGCCACCCATTCGTCCCCCTCCCCTACCTCTCATCCTTTGCCCAGGAGCTGCCTTCATCGCAGTCACGCCCCTTCCTTCCGAGGAGCTTTCTGCCTGCCCAAGCTGGTAGACCCCCTGATTTATTCTTCCATCTCCGCTCTCTTTCGCCTCATCTTCTCTTAGTTCTCACCGCCCCTCCACCCCCACCTCCAGTCTGTCTTGCCTCCGACCATCCGCTGCTCCACCCTCCGGCCCGGTATCCTGCCTGTCCACTGCCACCAAGGAGAGCCCGGACAGAGCAGCGAGGAGGGGACCAGGCGGGAGTTGGGGCTTCCCCCTGACCATCCCTGGCCTCCGGCCCGGGACCGAAGCCACTTGAGCGAGCAGAGAGTCGTCACCTTGTCTTCGGTGCCTTCAGGGGTAGGAGACGCATGGTTACTTTTCGCGGGGAACTGGGGCAGGAATCCATGGTGGCTTGAACTTGATCGTGCCCTCGGCGTGAGTGAGTCGATCTAGATGCGTGTGGGGATGCCCGGGTGTTCTACTTTCTTTGCAGCTGGCCTTGAGTTTTCCAGGATGAGCAGCAACTCAGATCGGTTAAAGAGTGTGCGCTCCTTTCTCGTCCTACGGAGATGCTAGTGGGTACCACTACTCGATGGTACTTTTATTTCCTTTGCTCCTGGGGTGCTTCTAGGTATCTAGGTAATTAAGCACAAAAAAAGGGAAGGAACTTCAGGTCAACATTTACCTCAGAAGGAATGTCTACAGGCGTTTATCTCAGATTGCTAGATGCAGATGCGTTCCTCCTAGATGTTTAGAGTTGGGGTGGGGGCTCACACTCCCCTCCCCCGGGGGCTGTGAGTTCTTGAAGTCTTAAAGTCTGGGAGTAATCTACAATGCTATACTCCTTTTGATATACGTGTGTGTGTGTATGTGTTTGGTGGTGAGGAGGGGATTGCGCGTTATCTGCTTTATAGATGTTAGTAATACGTTCTTCAGGATCATGCAGGTGCCTTGAGGGTCCCAAGCCTTGGTCACTGTACATTGGCACTTCAACAGCAAGAAGGATTTATTGATATGTGAAAACAAAGAAAAGGAAAAGGGAGAGGGAAAGTGACAGTCTTTGTAGTCTGGTAAATCGCCACTAATGATAGTACAATGATAATTTGCAGCAAAGGACGAAATACCATTAAATGAGAGTAAAGGAACCCTTTGTGAGAAACAGCATTTTCAATCTCTCACATGTATTTTAGAAAGAATTGTAGAACACTTTGGAGTGTCTAATTTAGTTCTCCTATGTCCTCCTGCTGCTCCGGACCACCGCATTAAGAGTGGAAGTTGGGAGGCATTTAAAACTTTTTTGAATATAACCCTCTTCTCCCATTCAGAGAGGAAGATAATTAGTCACCATAATCTTCAATAATGGAGGGCTAAGGTTATTTAAGTCTCCTTGAACAAGGTTTTGTGAAACATCCTTTCCCAGGCCAGCCTTTGTGAAGCCTTCTCAGTTAGACCTTTCAACATTCTCATTTAATAGCTAAGAATACTTTGAAATACCATTTTGGATGCAGGGTAAATTTTCACCCGTCTCCCACCTATCACCAATTGGACAAGCATGGCAAACTTTTAAGAATGGTGGCATTCAAAGACCACCAAGATGTTAACCAAGATGTCACCAATCCATTGCTTATTCACGAACAAATTATTTACTTACATTTTAAAATACTTGTGTTGGTTGATTTTAATGGGCAAAAGGAAAGCAGGAAGGGAGAGAAGGAACGTTACAGGGCGACAATTTTAAAGGCTATCATCTTTCAGATCAGCTGGGAGGGAAAAGTTGGCCTGACCAAACTGCATTTTATAACTGGCCTGGGACATTTTAATAGCCAGGTGGTTGTAGAGTAGTTGCGTCTATTTACAGATGATAACTCAGGTTCCAGTTATTCTGTATGGGTTTATCCGGTGTCATTTACAGACACTTTCTGGCACTACATCATACTTCATTTTAAGATACTTCTTTCTTTGGAAAAGTCTGCGGCTCCATAAAATTAAAAGTGCTTTTTCTAACTTCATGGCTAGATATGAAGTAAACCTCTGACCATGCTTGTATGTAGTTAGTTTTATGTGAAAGTTGAGGATCTGTTTACCAATTTAAAAGGTTTCAGAAGGAAATTTAAAAATTCATATTCGATACCATTTTGGATTTGGAAACTGAAAGCTCATTTCTGGTTGGTGAAGGAGGGATTATTAGACTAATGCATAGCCATGGCATTTTGTGGACTTGCTTTTTCTGAAGTTTTGTAAAGAGCAAATCAGACGCTTTCTAGAATGCCTTAAGAGGAGTCTATTCAGAACACAGAGGGATGGATGCTATGACCTTGGGGTCCCATTGAGTGCCAGAATTCTAAGAGGGTACATCTGCTTCTATGCCTCTCCTAGGAACACTCTCCCAGGGCCTGTGCCTTCTTTAAAAGGGTGTCTTTGTAATTAAGCAGCCTGTCTCCCCCACCCCCCCCTTTCTTCCTTTGATCCAGCTTTTTAAGGCCTTTTCCATTTGGAAACAAGAGGAGTTTCTCACACTCTCCTACTCCCCTCTTAAGGTTTCTTTTCCTTTCCCTCCAAAAAGTCCCCCAAAGTTCTCAGGATGGTTATAAGTTGTTTTGTTTTGTTGGAGTGGAGGGGATGTTATCAGCAAGGAGAAGTAGAGGATATATTCGCTCTTGGGAAATGCTTGTGACCAGGTAGCCTCTTCCATGGAGACTGAGCATTTGGAATGCATGAGAACAGTCTATTCTTAGGGACTGTCTGGAAGAAACTGTCCTTTGCACCCATTAAGTGCAGCTAAAACCCACTGAAAAGGGTGGAGAGAGGTGTGTGTGGTCGTGGCGGAGCCTTTTAGGATGGTAAATGGGTAAATGTTCCCAAATCTCCTATTACATCACCTCTTTCCCCCATGGATTCAGTGGGTTTAGAGATCTGCTTGACAAGTTAATTAGCTTGGGACTAAACCAATTTGTTCAGAATTGTGCTCCATTGATTTCCTGTCCCCAGGAATTTTTGTTGGTGGTTTTCTATGACGTGTTGTCTTTGGTCTTGCTTACTTCTTCGTTCCTTGCTGCCTTTTGTGGACTTTGGTCCAAAATCTAGGGTTCCACCCCCAAGTCAAAGGTTAGAATTTGGTCCTAGGAACTAAGGGGGCATTAAACAGGCGGCGCATACTGCACTGCACTTTTCCATGGTGGGCTTCTGACCCCTTTTAACTCAGAGAAGGGAGGGAAGTTTCCCCTTCCACACACAACACACAAAATCTGAACTGAAAAAAAAAAAAGGAAAATAAGAGGTCATTTGCTTTATAAAAGAACCCACTACAGGTTTCTTTGAAAGAAGTAGCTTTCCTAGTTAGTGCCTTTGAGTTATGACTTGATATATAAAACTTCACTATAATGGGGGCCTTCTCAGAAACGTCTGTATTGCATAAAGGAAGACATTTGAATTTTGTTGTAACGATTATAGCTTGAATTAAGTGAGGCGATTATTTGGACTCTGAAATCTTTTTGTTATATGGGATGGAGTTAATTTTCTAAATCATTCTGGCTTATAATAATGCTGGCCATGTTTAGCTCCAGCCTACAACCACTTGTAGATGGGAGGTAGTATGACCTTCTGGAAATAAATCAGACTTCACAGATATTGCTAAGTCTAAGGATAGGACTCTCTACCCCATGTTCGTAAAGAAATTTAATTCTGGTTATTGTATTTGAATAACCTAAGGGTCCAAAAAATTGCTTCTGGTAAATGACAGCAACTGATGCCATTTTTCATCGAATAATCTACAATAAGCTTTCCTAGTGAGCCTCTTGGTGCATGGGATGTGGGCTCTAGGCCCATCTCTAACTCAGTTTACTGCCCTTGGCAATTCCTCCTCTGTACATTGTGAGGAGCTGGACGGGGTGATTTTGAGAGCTGGTTCTGAAAAGTTTATGGTTCCCTTTCTAGACCACTACTTGGGATGTGAGTGTGAATGATTCGTACCAGAATGAGGTGGAGAGCAGTTGTTAGAAATACAATCATGTAGTCGTCTGGATGTAAAAAAAAAAAAAAAAAAGCCTCCAAGCATATATCAATATAAATGCATTGTGTTTTGTATTTTAACAACATATCAAATTAAAAAGCTAAGATCCTGCCCAAAAATTCATCAAGAATCCTATCATCCTACCAGATCACCGGCTTTGATTTTTCCTAGTTCCTTTCAAGCCCTTGTTTCTGTTCTTAACATGAATTTTACATAGGTGTTGAGGGAGGGGGTCATAGAAATTTACAAAGTTTCTTTTAAATAAAAGCCCACCTAAGACTTAGTTTTGTAAACCTGTGTGGAAGAATGAATTCAGAACCTGACTGAGTACACACGAAGAATCATGTATGTTTGTTCCTCGAAATGCCAGGAGAGACTAACAGATTTAATAAGTAATCCCGAAACCTTTCTGTGAATTAGGGGTGTTTGTGTATCTACCAAGGCTGTTAACTCTACTCCGTTGACCTCCTGTTACCCCTCCCCACTTTCTTAAGAGAAAAGAAAACTAAGGTTCACTGTTTACTTTGTCTAAATCATTAGTAATGAGTTCTTAAATCACTGTATCATGATATACCATCAAGAGAGTACAAATTTGGATAGACTATAAAATTTCCCCAATAAGAAAGGAAAAGCAGAAAGGCACAAATGTTTTGTTTCATAGCTTTGAAAATAATATGTTTAAATTAGACTAGAAAAATAGTAAGGAAACTAAGGATTCGAAACAATTAAAGCCATGTAGGTGTTGCAGGATGACCCGCACATAATGGGTTCTTCACTTGAGGTCTTCACTGTATAGAGAAAGCTCAGTTACGTAGTCCTTTAACTTTCTTTTCATAGAGAAGGCATAATATACATATGATCTCCATTTTGGATGAATTCATTCCTGGAAACTGGTGGCTCATCAGAAATTAGATAAAATACCTTTAACCAGAATAGGAAAGGGAAATATGGGTTTTTAGTACTTAGTTCCAAATTAAGTACTTTTTAAATGCTATATATTCATGGGGGAAAATGCAGATGGATATATTTGCTAATATCTCATAAGATAATTTTTGAAAATCTACTTTTTTTCAACTCTATAGGCTGTCCTCGACATTTGTAAAGTCACTTTCATTATTGCCCCAACTCCATGAAATAACATTAGACTCTGTGACTTGAAGCCAGGATGCGGGTTTCTGTGCCCAACCATCTCTGACTTGTCATGTGACCAAGGGTAAATGAATTAGCTGCTCTGAGCTTCAGTTACCCTTCTGGGAAGCAGGGATATTAATACCTCACAGAGGTGTTTAGGCATGCTTCATATTGGACACATGCTTTGAGGTCATTGGATGAAAGGTGTTTGCATGATGGCAGAGCAGGCTTATTATAAGGTCCTGAGCAGGTGTTCACTTTTAATGAGCTTTGCTCTTATAACTTACAGTGCCCTTTGGTGCCCCAGTGCCTTACTGACTATAATTGATCATCCCGACGTTTATATTATGGACCTTCATGGCTTATTTTTTTTTAAAAATTAAAACATTTTCCTTCCATGGGGTGAGTTGAAGTTCGAGTAAGAGGACTCTAGCATCTTGCAAGGTGATGAAAAATACCTTCAAAAAGAGACATCAGTTGAAATGTGCCATAGAGATCAGTGAGTTCTTCAAAGCTCTTCCAAAAGATTAAAAGAGTAAAACAAATTTCGGCGTGTGTCTGTGTGTGTGAGTGTGTCTATGTATGTGTGTTTTAAGGGAGAAAGTTTTGAGTAATATTTGCTTGTGACACATACTGATGATAGCCAGTAACTGAAACCCAGCCATTGTAGTGTTTTATACACAGCTGGTTTTTATTAATGATGGAATATTTATGCTTGCTGTACAATTCGTGGCTCATTTCCATGTGTATGTCAGAACTCAAATACCCCCCAAAGCAACATTAAGATAACATTAAATATAAATGTGGCCAAGCTAGAAAGGGTGGATTTGGAGGGGTCTCCCTTATTCTTATTGGTGTTGCTTCAGATCACCATAACTGCCCCCCAACTTTAGGCACTGGTGCTGATGTATTTTTCCTTTATGTATTCCATAGCAAACCTCACATTCTGATCCTTTTGATATGGACAAATGATCCCCCCCTTCGTAATGTAGATGGAACTGATGTATGTGTTTTTTAAGAGCATATTTTCCCTGCACATGCTTCTCATTATCCGAGAGGCCTGGACTCAATCAGTAAAGGAGCAGAGAAACCACATAATTGAAAGGAGAATGACGGTGGTGCATACTTGGAATATTTGTGGGAAGGGGATTGCTGACATCAGAAAATGTAGTGGCCTGAGTGTTAACAGCATTGAAGAGAAATAAGCTTTCTGTGTTTCTGTGCATCGAGAATTATTTTTAAGGAGATAAAAATATGGGCCAGGTTTGACATCCTTTTACAAAGTTGCCCTGGAAACTTTGATGAAGGTTGTTATAGAATAGTTCAATTAAAACCTTCCCCATTAGGAAGCTAATTATAATTAGTACATCACTTACTCATTTTGGTTGTTTTCAAGGGGCAGGATTCACATTGAATTAATGGCACTTCTTTCCATGTGATAGCAAACTAAGATAAAAATCACAGATGGGGAAAATTATTTAGATAGCCTATTTTGAAGAAATCTAATTTCCACTTTATTACATTTAGGTTTTCAGTTCAGATTTTTGTCTCACTCTGTTTATATACAGTGATCACATTTTAGTTTAGTAACCAGTTTTACATTTTGGATCACGGGCTATAAACCAAAGCTTATTAATCTGAGTTTCCCATATGAATTGGAGAAATACGGTGAATGACAATAAGCCATTTTATTAAGGTAACATTTGTGGGTTTTGTCTGCAATTCATTTCTCTTTGCTGTGTGTGAGGGGGGAAGGGGGAGGCAAATTGATTTTTTTAATTTATTAAAAAAATTTTTTTATGTCTTTATTTTGAGAGACAGAGTGAGAGTGAGCGGGCGAGGGGCAGAGAGAGAGGGAGACACAGAATCTGAAGCAGGCTCCAGGCTTTGAGCTGTCAGCACAGAGCCCGACGTGCGGCTCGAACCCACAGACCGTGAGATCATGACCTGAGCTGAAGTCGGACGCTTAACCAACTGAGCCACCCAGGTGCCCCGATTTTTTAATGCAATTTTTGGAGCTAAGAAAGTTTGGATGACTCCCTCTACCCCCGGGAGCATTCTGTCTGCCTCAGGCTCTCAGTTAGGCTTCCTTGAGGGCAATGCAATGACTATTCTGATCTGGTACTTTGTGTGACTAGGCTAAGTGGTTGTCTCCTGGCAGCCTGAAGGAGCGTGGTCACGATGGGCTCCGGAGGGCAGGGTTCCTGGCGGGTTCTTTCTCCTGTACTCTTTTTTAGCGGACTGAATACTCATTCATGAGGTTTCAGGGCCATTTGCAGTAGCATAAGAACTCTGTAGCTAAATATGTAACATGGGTCTGCTGTGGTCCTCCCTGTTCCCCGTAACTAGTAGGGGACAGACGTGCTGTATGTATACTCCCTGATGCTGTTACGCTATGCCCACAGCATATGCCTACACTAGTTTCCGAGAGTAGGAAAGTTGGCTGGGTTCTCTGATTTGCACTTTAACTGATTTCACCCTAGGCCTTCCTGGGAAGGCAGAGTCTAGATTTACTTTTGCAGTGGCCATTCAGTCAAGACAGGTTCTCGGGCCCTGCAATCAGCATGAGGAGGAGGGGCTGCCTTTGGGGAGTGACTCAGGCCCTTTGGTATGAAGATATGAAACTCTGGCTCCTGTCCATGCACCTGCTGGATGCCACACCTGCAGTCAGCACCTGAGCCCCAGTCAGACACAAAAACCAGACTGAAGGCAGATGGGGCTCCCTTAAAAGGGGTACAGCAGAACAGGGAACTCCCAATGATGTTAGGGCAGCACCCCTGCAAATTCCATTTAACCGCTCCAGTGTTGATATGGGGAAATGTCTTAGATATTTTCTTATAGGTGCAGTGCACTGGCTTGCTCAAGATACTGTTAAGAGTTCTGAGAGAATTTCACTTTCCTAACGTATTTCTCTTCTGAACCGTCCTCTTAAAAACTGGAGAGTCGGGGCACCTGGGTGGCTCCATTAGTTGAGTGAGCGACTCGATTGCTCCTCAGGTCTTGATGTCATGGTTCATGAGTTTGAGCCCTGCATTGGGCTCTGCGCTGACAGCACAGAGGTTGCTTGGGATTCTCTCTCTCTTTCTCTCTCTCTGCCCCTCCCCGCTGTCAAAATAAATAAATAAACATTTAAAAAAACAAACCCTGGAGAGTCCATTCCATAGAGGTCTGTGTCTAGTAACCCAGTATAGGGCGGGAAGTCACAAGACCTGGGTTCTGATCCTGGCCCCACCAGTAAGCCACAGTGAAACCTTGGTCAACTTAGTTATCATGAGCTGTCTGTTCTGGATTTAAGATTCTCCAGTTGTAAAATGGAATTAATCACATCTGCCTTTATTTCCTCACAGAGCTGCTGAGAAGGACAAATAGCAGAAGGGAAAGAGGCTTTCTCTCCTTGGAAGAAAGGCTAAGATACTAAAGGTAACAGAATTATTGTTCTTGGTTTTCTCTCTTTCACTCCTTGTCATCTTTCTGTTGCCTCTAGCAAAGTTTTTGGGAAGTTGTGATTTACTCAACATGCAGTATGCAACTCTTCTGCATATTTTATGTGCTAGTTCACGTTTTTGGTGTTGGGAAGGATACGGAGGAAGATCATGCACCCAGTCCATAACCTCTAATATCTTGCATTCTAGCAACTTCCAATTTCTGCCTTGCTACTTAGAAGCTTAAAAGACAAAATTAACTTTCTCTCTGTCTCTCTCTCTCTGTCTCTGTCTCTCTCCCTCTGTTTCTCTTTTTCTTTCTCTGCATTGCAACTGGGGACTTCTGTACCTGAAGCATGTACTCCAACATCTAGATTGAAGGTATGGGTATGGGGTGGGGTATTTACCGTGTGGTAAATAAAGAAATTTCTGTCTCACTACCACATGTGCAAAGTACCTGACACTTGAATGATCGGTTCAAGGGTCCATCCTTAATTTCATCCTTGGTTCTGCTCTGCTTCTGCCCTACACGTTCCAGCCCATTCTTTGACCTTACCTGTTATCCATATGCTAATGACTCCCAAAGATATATCTCAGCCTATCTTTGGCTCCTCCTTTTCCAACTTCCCCAGTATCAAACTGGTTATCAGATGTCTCATCTTTAGCTCATTGATCTTTTCCTCTGAGAAGCTTTGCTCAGGTGGCCCAGATGTTTTTGCAGGGTCCTCTGTGTTTCCCATTGTATTGTGTCCCCTCTGCTCAACTGGACTCTGGTTTATTTCTTTTTTTATCCACTCTAGGACCTATCCATTGCCTGGCTACAGTAAATGCTCAATAAATTTGGAAAATATGGTGTGGTCGCGCTGCGATAGAGATGTGTTAAAAGTCCAGTGGCAATACCAAGGGAAAAGAATTAATTTTCCATATTGAGCAGTGGGAGGGGAGGGAAGATCGAGAAGGATTAGAGAAAAACCTTCAAGGAGAAGGTGGAAAGAGGACCTACCCTCTTCTGAGAGCTCTGACTAAGCAGCCCAGGAAAGAAATGCCTGTTGTCCCGGCTCTTGCCAAGCAGGACGTCTCTGGCCTGTTGCCTTCTCTGCTTAGAACTGGATCACTTTTATGGTTGGGTCTGCAAATAAACCTCTGTCTATAACACATTGACCATCTAAGACAGGTGCCACTTAGTCATATAATATTAAACAGAGCTGACCTTAAATGTGGCACCTTAACTGGGGCTGAAAATAGAGGTACACACATAGGCTCCTTGGTCATGTATACTTAGTTCTATACAGAGAAAATGCCCTTACAGTATATTGAAGATTGGTATCTAAAAACTAACACATTCTCAAAATGTAGCAGGCTGGGTCACTAGAACTGAATGTCTTCAAGCTGACTGTCAGATCTTTCCAAGGGCAAAAATGAAACATGATATAAGCCATTACAGGCCATGAACCTGTTCTCACCCACCTGATGCTTTTACTAATTAGCTTCTTGGCCGGGTGGCAATTTGGGGCAAGTGCATGCAAGCTGGCTTCACAGGGGAGCCCACATTCCACTCTGCCATTTCGCAAGTCACTGGGATACTACACTGCTTCTCTTGGCTTCTTTCCCTCCCAGGAGTCCTGCTCTGCCCTGGTGGAAAAATGGGAGAGGAGAAAGTTTCATTAAATGAAGGAGAGATTTCATGGGGCTTTGGTGTTTTCTAGTTTCATTTTTGTAGTGGGTTGTCTAAAAACATTCATGTACCTTGACCCATTAATTTCACTTCTGAGAGTCTCTCATTAGGAAACAAATCCAAAATATTGAAAAGGCCAAGTCTCAAAGATGTTTTTTGTAACATTATTTAGAGTGGCACAAAACTGAGAGCCACTTAAATGTCTTAACAATTGGAGAATTGGGTAAGTGAATCTTGACACACTCATGTTGTGAAGTCTATACCGCAGTCTACACCATGGTGAAAGTGGTTATGATAAAGTGAAATGTAGGATCCGAACGTCTGTGTACATTAATATTTCATGGCTTTGTAAAACCACAAACACACATAGAAAAAACTAAAGGAAGTATTCTCTGTTGGTAACCACGTTTAGTTCGAGGTACTGGGAGTATGAGTGATGTCTTCCTCTTAGTTACAAGTGTTTGCATGTTGTGTTTATATTACTTTTAAAGAAACTAAAAACAAAAATAAACATGAGTAGTATATCACCGATGATAGGAAATTGGTAAAGTAGGCAGCTTCTAGGTGTATTTTTAAACCTTTCTCAGTTTATGCTCAGTCTGGTTTCATGGACTACTTACCCCTTTTCTGAGGCAAGGAGATATGGGATGTGAGGACATGCTCTACTTTTCCCATGGAATGGATGTGTGTGGAAGGAGATGGCATGGTGATGGCAACAGTATTCTTCTTGTTCCTAAATTTGCCACTGCTCATGTGCACTTCGGGGTTAATCATCTCCTGTTCCCTATGAATATGTTCAAGTTAATTGCTTTAGAGTACAGAAGTAAAACTGGGACCCAGTTGACCACACCTTTGAGTTACCATCTCAAACACAAGATAACTGACACTGATTGTCAGTAAGATTTGGAAATGCGAAGGAAGGCCTGTTGTGGTTCCTAAAATAATCTTACAACATAATCTAAATAGAGGTAGGTCTAGAAGCAAAGAGGTGGGGCCAGCTCAAACCCTTTTCTTAAGCCAGCGCTAGACTCAAAGTGAGGCCAAATTCTAAGTTGGTATGGCATTGACCAGACCAAGAACATAGGCCTGGAAATATTGATCAGTGGAGGTTCATGTTACATTCCGACCCACCTGCCAATCTTGGCCTAAAGAGGAAAGGCTTTGCAAGGTCTTTCTGCCATACTTCTAACTACACACATCTGTCTTCCCTCTTTGAATTTTTCCTCCTGCCATTAACAGTTTACTACTGATGGAATTGAAAATTGGTGGTAGTATTGAGCCAGGTCTATAGTCTCTTAAAACCAGAGCCCATTCAATTTAATAAATATTTATTAAGCATCTTCTACATAGAATCTAATATGTTAGGTAATATATTATAGTGGAAGGACTGTTGCCTGAGGAGTAATAAAACCTGCATTCTGGCCCTGGCTCTGAACCTTGTCAAGCTCTAGTACCTTCATTATACAGAAAGAGGGGTTTGGACCACTAGATGGTCTCCTAAGAGTCTTTCTAGTTTTGGCCTTTGCTGATCTAAGAACCCTTGCATGCACAAAGACTAAGTGGCAAATAAAAGTTTTAAAGACAACCAAAAACTTTAATTTATAAACTTTCTGTGGTCTTCTAAAAAAAAAGACCACTTTGAAATAATATTAAGAGGCAGATTTTGTTGAGCCTTTACTATGTCCCAGGCTGTTTTGTACTTTACATGGATTACCTCCCTTAATCTTTATAATAGCTCTATGAGGTAGTAGCACTGTTATCCCTGTCTTGCAGGTAATGAAATAAGATTTGGGGAAGTCCAGAGAAATATATGAGGTCAGTTAATAACCCATAGATCTGGGATTTGAACTTAAGCAGTGTGAATCTAGGTCCAGGCTCTTAACCATGGTGTTTATACTGCCTGCCTGTCATCCATTGAAAGGTTAGGGGTAACCGGCAAAGGAACTATTATTTCTTACCTCCCAAAGGAAGGGAATTTGTATCCTGGATTGCAAGACTGTTGGGAAAGGTGTTCTCTAGGACTCTTTAGAACACAACATCAACCAACCTGAGAGGACATGAGAGAATTCAGGGGGCTATTTTGCCTCTCTCTTTGTATGTGAGGTTGTGTGTGTGTGTGTGTGTGCTGCACAAATATATCCACATAGATACATAGACATAGGGGAAGCTTTGAACTGGCTCCTTTCCATTTAGCTGGAAGTAAAATCATATGGAACAAATTGACCGAGATTTAGCAGAGACACAGGTATCCCAGACTTACGCTCTTCATCTTGATTGGCCAGAGTAAGGATGGGGGGAAGACTAGGAAGAGGAGGTAGAAGAGATAGAAAGATCTTACAGGTATATTTTACAGCTTATTTGAAGGGTAGGAATTTGGTCTGCTCTGGTCACCTTGTAGCGTGGATTTTCTGGGACTTGGCTTGAGAAACATCTGGGCTCTCACTAATGGGTTCTGGTTCAACCAAAACTGGGTTTGATTGAGGTATACTGGGAGAGGCCAAGAATTTAGCTTGGCCCTGCTCCCCTGTTGTTATTACAGAAGAGCTGAATATGTAGATTCAAATTGTACTTTCAAAGAGAGAACCATGGATATCCTTTCTTCCCCTATCAATGTCCTCAGGGACAGCCTGTTTGTCCAGGAGAAACAAGGTTATTTTATTGATTGAAGATGATGTCAGAACCCTGGCAGTGGCGTGATTGAAGGTGTGGGCAGATTGAAGGTTGCAGACTTCATACTACTTTAGTTTTTGCGCATGAGACAAGGAATCTTTTCCTTTCCTTTCGCTAGTAAATACATGGACTAGTGTTTTCCTTCTTCTGTGACTCTAAACATGTAGATGAACTTAAGTTCCTGAAGAAAAAAAAAAATCCGTAAACTGGAGAGGAATCAGCAAAGCTCTTTTCTTAGGCTGATTTCTTTTCCTCTTTTAGACCAGAAACAAAAAAGGCCAGCGGGCGGGGTGGTGGGGAGGGACAATCTGTGTCCGGTTGACATAAAGTGATTGGGTTTTGAAAAGGATACGGAGGAGAGGGGACAAAATTAAGGGAAGAGAGTAAGATTTTGGACAAGTAAAGTTTTCTTTGTGAGAAGCTAGGTATGAGGAACAAACCAGTCAAAATTGGCATGAAGAATCTAAATAGCCCTGGAAAATAATTGTATGGTGGTTTCTCGCCAGGGGCTCAAGTTTAAAGGCCTCAGGCTGTTTTCTGCATGTTTCAGTTGGGGAAAAAAAAAAAAGACAACTGCTTTGTTCAGAATCGCACAATAGAAGCACGGTGGTTATTTACCACACTCTGTTAATAGTCCAGCTTCGATTCCAATTAGAAGTTGTTCCTTTGCTTTGAAATTAGGGAAGACATCCTAAAATAATTACCTTGCAGATTGGAGATGATTTTGCTTATGATTGGAATTATATGTTGGGCCAAAACAAGATGGAAAGACAAATTTCCGTGTTTGCTCACTCTGTATCTCTTCACTTTATTTTTGGCAACATTGCAAGGAAATAATGTTAAATTAATCACTGTGTGGTTTTGTGGATTTTTTTTTTAAACTTGGATGTTTTGGACAGGCTCCCAAAATACAGAGATGCTTGTGTGCTTCCTTTTTGCATTGCCTTGCTCCTCAAATGGCATCTCTGATATGGATTAAAGCCTTTCCTATAAGTGACACAAATGAGTCATGGCAAGGCTGGGACAGAAAATAGGAATGTGGATGATGTGCATCTCACATAAACACGAACTCCTCAGTTTTATAACCATCTCGGATGGGCCTACGGGGCTTTGCAGAGGGTTAACACAGTAATTCAGGATGAGGACTTTCACAAATCCTATCCGGTGGGTGTTTGCATCTAGTCTTCCTAATGTGAGTCTAGTAGTTTACTTTCGGGGAGCTCCTGGGCAGTGGAAATGCTGAGAAAGCAAGTGGAGGCATTTTATCCTTGGAGAAGAGTTGGTACTATGTGCTGAGAAGAGCAATCACCTTTGCTACTCCAGTAAGAATGGATGGACCGTCAATCAGATTGTAAGCTCTGTGAGGGCAGAAACTATATGTTGTGTATCTTTTGTACCCTTCCTTATGTCTAGCAGGAGGCTGGCAAATGTCTGGAATGGCCAGTATGCAATAAATACTTAATGACTTGATTGAAAGGAAGTTTTGGTTTTCCTCTGCCTATCTGAGGCTGTGGCTTTTAATTTGGAACTTGAGTATCCTTTTTTTTTTCTTTACTTTTTTTTTTTTAATTTGACCAAAAGCCTACCTTCCGATGACTGCCTCCCCTTCTGGGATGTGAGGCAGCGGGCCCCTTTCACCTGCCCTGAAACTGATAGCAGTTTCAAGGTCTCACCCTGAGGGTCACTTGGTTATGCCTTTTGACATTTCCCACCATGCCAACTCAGAATGGAAGCAGCCGCTTTTGGAGGTCATGAGGCTAGAACAGAGCAATCTTTGCCAGTCTGGGACCTGAATATTTGCATCCTCTGGAGACTGGCTGGCCTGAACACAGGTGCTGGTAGCGAGGTTTCTTTTCGTCCTAATGGAAATGGTCTGCCACTCATAGGAAAGGCAAATACCTGGGAGGAGAAGTCATTCCCTTGGAAGGACTGGTTTGGTTAACTGTTGGCCATTGGTGGCAAAATAGAAACGACGTTTTTATTTCTCCCTCCCTCCCCCTCCTGAACATTTCAGAGTGACCAGTGGTTGGACTCTTGGCGGCGCTTACCCTGAACCTGTGTGTTAGGGGAGAGGGAATCTGCCGTTGCGGTTTCTGGAGCTGCTCATAAGCAAGAATTCCCTATCCTGATCAAGGCTTTAAGCCTAAAAGAAAGCAGAAATAGGTATGGACCATATGTGTGTATGTGTGTGTGTGCGTGCGTCTGTGTGTGTGCAGGGTGGGGTGGGTGTGGAATGGGAGGGGGTGGTGTGCTTTGAGGGTCTGGGGCAGCTCAATTTCTGAATTTCCCTGCTTTGTAGGGTAGGTGTGCAAGTGATTTTGTTTTAACCATACATGCTCCCATCCCACTTCCTTTTTTTTCTTCTGAGAGAGGAAAAGTAGTTTGGGAGTCATCTTTTCAGTTTAAAGGCACCAAAAGAGATTTACATGTTTCGCTTGTCAGCCTATCACAAAATCCCAGTCTGACAGTTTAAAAACAGGAGTCCCAGATGGTCACTGGGTAAGAGGGAAAGGGCAGGTTGCTCAGCCCTTTGGTGTACACTTCCCCAAAGAATGTGATTATTAGGATTTAAAAAGGGACTTTGGGAGGTTAACTGTGGGGTCAAACTGCTCCTTAGAACAATTGGAAACCAGGTAGCAGTAATCATGCAAGAAGTACAAAAAAAAAAAAAAAAGAAGAGAAGATGACCTTTTTCTATCTACCACACACATCTTCTGGTCATCCCCTGCAGGACTGGAGGAAAGGGATCATGTTTCCAGTGAGACTGGAGGCTGTTTAATATCATAGAAATCAGAGCCTGGGAGCCAGGATTCCAGAGTTCTCATCTAAGAACCTGAGGCTGCTTAGGTTGACCTTTACTGCGACTTTTTGTGTGACATCATGCCCATTCTCCAACACTGCTTAAGGCCCTTAGAGAAAAACCTTCGTTATTGAATATATTGGATTGCAGTATTCACATGACAGACTCTCTCCAAAGGTTTTTATGAGCCTCTAATGAGTTTGTGTGTGTACTATACCAGGTAAAGAGAGAGAGGGGGAGACAGAGAGGGGGAGAGAGGTCACCAGCACTAGTTTTTCAGGTGGGAAAATACAAGACAAGAAAAGAAGAATCAATTGCTTAGGTTACTCTATAAATCCATATCAGGATTAGAATTTGAATCTTGAGTCGTCTTACTACTGATATCTGTTTCACTCAACCCGTATTTCTTCCTTGAGAAGAATTAGTGGTGGTGGTGGAAGGGGAGGGGTATGGTAATCATACCCTTTCTAGAAGGATGACCTTTTTATTTTTCAATTTCTAAATGCTGTCAGAGGCACACTTCAAATGAAAGAGGGCTTCCCATTTAAGCTCTTCCCTAGCCAACAACAACAGAAAAAAAAAATCTCAATGACTATTCCTGGATGGCTGAAAGAGAAACTTTGTCAATATCAGTTATCTCAAGCCCTTCTCTTATTAAGCCAAGGAGAATCCAAAATGGACAATACAAAAAGGATTTTTTTTAAAAAAAGCTATGTTTCAGAGTTTTATGAGAGATCAGAGAAAACGATTTGCATCAAGAGGGGATCGTTCTTATCCTGTGCGAGCCAAACTCTCTTCATCTTTCATTTATTTTAGTTGTTTATTTGGCATTTCGTGGCTCCCTTCACATGCTGGCCTGTTTTACAGATCCTGTCTATGGGGTAAATTCTCCCTATTGGCCTGCCCCCTGTGCCACAGCCATAATAGATGGATTTTTCATTTAAGTAGAATATGGAGAGATGAATCTTCTGAGTAAGGACCTAGAAATTGCCCTCTCTGGTCACCCTACCTGACTGCTCCAGGGTTCCCTAGTTCTCTTAGGAATTAAGTCAAGATTGGATATTTAACCGATGCTAAACATGAAAGAGGAAACAGTGAGCTCTTATGCCCCCAAGTTCCTCATCACGTCAATGCTAGAGCCAGGAGTCACCAACAAATAACCTATTATTAATTCTAGATTCTCTCTGGAATGGAATCCTCACCCCCAAATACCCATATTCTTCCCCTTTAGAGGAATGATTTATCCATCAACTGGGTGTTAAGCTTCCTGTTTCCCCTTCCCAGGTCAAGGGCAGCCCAGGTGCCCAATTTCTCTCTCTCTTCACAAGGCACCACCAGCAATAGAGATGAGAAATTCTGAAGAACAGCCGAGTGGAGGAACCACAGTGTTGCAGCGTCTGCTACAAGAGCAGCTCCGCTATGGCAACCCTAATGAGAATCGCAACCTGCTTGCCATACACCAGCAAGCCACAGGGAATGGCCCTCCTTTCCCCAGTAGCAGTGGGAACCCGGGCCCTCAGAATGATGTGTTGAGTCCCCAAGACCACCACCAACAGCTTGTGGCTCATGCTGCTCGACAGGAACCCCAGGGTCAGGAAATCCAGTCAGAAAACATCATCATGGAGAAGCAGCTTTCCCCCCGAATGCAGAATAATGAAGAACTCCCAACCTATGAAGAAGCCAAGGTGCAGTCCCAGTACTTTCGGGGCCAACAGCATGCCAGTGTTGGAGCTGCCTTCTATGTCACTGGAGTCACCAACCAGAAGATGAGGACCGAGGGACGCCCGTCAGTTCAGCGGCTCAATCCTGGCAAGATGCACCAGGATGAAGGACTCAGAGACCTTAAGCAAGGACATGTCCGCTCCTTGAGCGAACGACTAATGCAGATGTCACTGGCCACCAGTGGAGTTAAGGCCCATCCACCTGTTACCAGCGCTCCCCTCTCCCCACCGCAACCCAATGACCTCTACAAGAATCCCACAAGTTCCAGTGAGTTCTACAAGGCCCAAGGGCCACCTCCCAGCCAGCATAGCCTGAAGGGCCTGGAACACCGAGGCCCCCCACCAGAATATCCCTTCAAGGGCATGCCACCCCAGTCTGTAGTGTGCAAGCCCCAAGAGCCAGGGCACTTCTATAGTGAGCATCGTCTGAACCAGCCAGGGAGAACAGAGGGGCAACTGATGAGGTATCAGCACCCCCCTGAGTATGGAGCAGCCAGGTAAGAGAGTTCCCTTTCTGTCATTTCCTGGCATCATCCCCAACCAGCTTCTGCTGTTTGTTGGGAATCTTAAGGGAAGGAATGGGCAGGTGTTTGGTATCACAAACTCTGCAATGCATGGCTGGCCCCTGGCTTAGTCAGTTTCTTCCCCATCTGAATTTCTAGTCTCTTCAGCCATAATTAGTACTGTATTAACATTCCCTTGACTTTATAGGTTGAGCATGGCCCCAGCTGCCTAGTGGATGAGCAGGAACGTGAGTCTTGATATCTACAGAGATATTCTGTCCTGTTCCCCAGGATTTTGAAGGAAGGGTCCATGTTCCTCTTTTTGGGAGTTGTTAAGCCTTTCCTTGAGGAGCAGAAGCAAATTATCTTGGACTTTAGTCTGGAATATCCTATCACTTTCAGTTATTCCCCTCCACAAAAGTCTCATCACTTATTTTTAGGAATGAATTTTTCTGAAGAATTACTATAATTCTTTCGGACACTAAACAAACACCTCGATATTACTCTGGGGGAGGGGGAACTATATATGTGCAGGTTCAGAATGTTACTTGCCTTGTACTTCCGTTGCAGTTCATCAAGTCTGGACTGCTCCATCTTTCTTCTGTAGAGAGTCTCTTAGCTGCATGTCTCGTTTTTAATGTCTAAGTTAAATTCACATCATGTCACATAGAAGTTTTGGTCAGATGCTAAAATGCAGGAAGAGTAATATTCCCAGGACTTCTTTACCACTGGTCATTAGTTCAGGAAGACTATTTCATATATTCATAAATATACTTCTGAATTATTCAGAGGCCAGAAGTCCCATTGCTTTATCAACCAGACCTCGTGATTCCATGATTGTGTTCATTGTTCCTACTGTTACGGGGCGGGGGGGTGGGGGGATGTCTGCTATCAGCAGCAGTTTGGTATACAGGGCAGAGGGAGGGTTCCAACCACTGGCAACAATGATGGCCGTTATGTGTGGTGTCCCTGTCCTGTTACCATGGATAATTACGGGTAAACATGAGGCTTGAAGTCCCTGGACCTAGCGGAGGCCTCTTCCCAGATTAGGCCTATGATCTCTTTACGGTCTAACTCTTGGCCTCCTGTCTTCTTCTCACTTATTTGGGAAAGAGCCACTTGGCTTGAAGTTCATTGGGTGACTCTGGAGAGAAGGCAGTCGGGGTGGAGTAGGGTGAAGGTAAGAGAATGCACCTGGCATTTCCTGGTATTTCATTTTCCCCCTCCAGGTCCTGTTTTATAGCCAGAAGCAATTCACTTTGGGCTCCACCCATAACTTGGCCAGTGTAGGATTTTTCTATCCCCTTAACCCAGGTTGATTTCCTAACCTTTTTCAACCTCCTCTGTGCAGCTTTCAAAGGGCAGGAGCCTAAGTTCTGATAAGTGGCTTAGAACAGGAAATGGGGTAACGGACAGGGCCCTTCTGGTTTAAATGAGAGCCCCATCTGCCCAATGAAACGGAAGACCCAGGGAGGGGTTGGTCAGTTGGACTGCTTAGCTTAGTGGAAACCCATCCAAGCCAGCAAAATGTCAATGAAGCTGGGGGATGTTGTTTTGCTCTTCCCATCAGCATGGAAGAGCCTGTGGGACTCTGTCCCTTCTGTGGATGGTCTGACGTCTGTTGCCTTGTGGGAGGGGAGTGTGTTGGCTGGGGCGTGGAGCAGAATCCAAAGCCCCGCTTAGCACAAGGACCGCCTTCCCAGGAAAGCTATTTTCAGAACTCATTCACCAGTATTGTTTGTGATCTGAAATGACTCCCACAGTGTTTGAAGCTAGATGGAAAAGCCCTTTGATCTGCCTAAATAAATAATAAGGAGCCCAAAGAGGGATTTTTTTTTTCTTCCCTTACTGATTAAACCACCAGAGAAATTTAGCTGCATATATGTTACAGGAAGATATCTTCCCTTCTGTGTTATCTGTGGGCTTTCTACCTATCCCCAAAAGCAGTAGAGCCCATGCTGATTACCCTCTTTTGAGCAGAATTTTAATACGCAGGTTTGCTCTAATATATATATATATATATATATATATATATTTTTTTTTTTTTTTTTTTCTCTCTATGGGAGAGGAACACGGTACTTCATATGCTTGGTGAATAGTCAAACCTAAACTGGTCCTGATGGGAAGGTGCTCTGTGTGGAGTTTGGGGTCTGCATCAGACAAATTCTGGCAATAAAATGTCTCCAGGGCTTGTGGTAAGGGAGTGGCACCTGTTGACAAATTACTGGCAAGGGGAGGCAGTTGATCTGCTTTCCAGAAATGTGCTGCTTTTAGGTGGTGACACATTTTTCCTCCTTTATTTCCTTGAACCAACTTGCTAGACAGTTTGCGAGTACCTTTCCAAGTAACTGCTGCTAGCCCCAATTAGAAGACGGAATTCTTAGTTCTTAATCCATAAATTACAGATCGGGACACAAAGCAGGTTCTCTGAACAAATTGCCGTTCAAAAACCTTTGTGTGCTTTTAGAGGTGCAGTGAAAGTGCTAGAGATTTGCTGTTAAAATGAGCAAAATGATATAAACAATCTTTTTTATTGCTTCATCTTCTCTCTGCCCTCCTCCCCGCTTGAAAAATAAATATCCTGAATGCCCAGAACTCCAGATGGGGAACAAGGCCAAACCATCTGAAGAATTAAAAGATTTCTGAATCTTTGTCTTTCTAAGTGCTGGGCCCTTTCTGCATCTGGGGTTTATACATTTATCAACTGCCTTTAAAAATTAAAACCTTTCTGTTTGTAAAGCAGCCACCTCCTTTCAGTTGTTGAAATCATGCCCAGATCTGAGGTTTCTTGAAATCCTTGTTTAGTGGAATCTGAGGGTGACCTAACTCTGTAGTTCAGAGCAGGGCTGGTTGTGCAAGAGAAATAGTCCAGAATCTTCAGCCCTCTCCGGGATTCACAGAGCCTGGGAAAAAGGCACAGTTTCTGTGGGGGAGAATAAATTGGGTTCCAGGTTGTTGGTGGCACCCGCTCTGGTGAGAGTGTGCATGTGTGGGTTTGCACACGTGTGCGCAGGGAGTGTGTAGTGTGTGGGTGTGGGGAGGCGGGTGTGTGACTGAGGAGGGCGGGGGCTCCCAGTGAGGTGGGAGGGCGGAAGGTGCTATGTCAGTTCAATGGATACTCTTTTGCTTTCCCTTTGTGGCCTCGCAAGCGCAACCTGTCTTTGGGAGAAAGTACCCCTGGCTTGGGGCGGTGGGGGGTGGGAAGGATGCTGATTTTGGTCATTGGTCTCTGTCCCGTGTGCCTGCCATGTCCCCTTTTCCACCAAGCACCAGGGGCCCAGGTTGTCTTGGGAAGGAGCAGGATGAAGGGAGGGAAGGGGCAGGGAGGCAGGTCAGGGCTTTCCATGGGATCATGTGATTCTATTGTCTGCAGGCAACTTGTTGTTCCTGGTTAATATGTCAGCGGGAAGTGATTCGCACTGCTGTGCAGTGGAAGCGCTTGGGGAGTGTGCCGCTCACCCAGCTGCCACCTGTAATATTAGCAGTACTGTGAACTCTTATTATTTAATCTTGAGTGTCGTTTTGCTTCCTCTGACATCCCCCCAGCCCTCCCCCACCCTGTCATGCGTCCGTCTCCTCTCAGAAGGAGCTTCACAGGAGTGTTCATACAGTCCTGCTTTTTTTTTTCTTTTTCTTTTTCTTTTTTTTTTTTTTTTTTTTTGTGGTGGGTGGATGCTGGAGCCCAGATGGAGTTCGTTGGCTGGAGGGCTTCCTCTCCTTTTGTGACTGCCCAAGCCTTGCTTCATGTTTGCAAACCTGCCAAGGACGGACTGCCTGGTTTTCCCAACATCATGGTGCACTGAAATCTGCTTCCTTTTCCAGCCTGGGGAGCCCAAGGGCTAGCTACCTTGTCTCCATCCTTTATTTTTTTTATGTTTATTTATTTTGAGAGAGAGAGAGAGAGAGAGAGCGAGAGCAAGCTCAGGAAGGGCAAAGAGAGAATCCCAAGCAGGCTCTGTGCTGTCAGCGTGGAGATGGACACACAGCTCGATCTCACAAACCGTGAGATCATGACCTGAGCCGAGAGACCGAGAGTCATCGGATGCTGAACCGACTGAGCCCCTCAGCGCCCCCATGTCTCTGTTATTTCTAAGTAGAGCTCAGAGTCAGCACCAGAGCCACTGCTGTCCTGGGCTTAACTGACTCTAAAGACCTCTTTCCAGAGACCTTGTGATCTCTTCCTTCCTGAGGCCCCTGGGAGGCCATGTACTGTCCAGGGCATGGAGGGACCTTTCAGCCCCCAAGCAGGAAGGAGGCCAATGGCCAATCTGTTTGAGAGAGAGGCCTGGGCTACTGATGGGGCCCAGAGGCACTGGGAGGATGAAACTCATTTCAAAACTGGGCATTCAGTCTTTAAAAGAGAACACCTCCCAAGGCCTGGGGTTTCCAAATCTTGGCAACAAGGATGAAGATTACTTTGGTCATTTTTTCCCTTAAATTCTGAGAGCTGGATTGGAGAACATGAAATTGAAAGCCCCTCTTTTCTACCCAGGAGAACCAAAAGCCCCAACAATTCCTAGTACATTATATTTTAACTCCAGGGAGATACAAAAATTGTGACGGCTCTTACTCAGAGGAAGGAGAGCACATAGTCTCTTTACCCCTAAAGAAACTGAAGATCTACACTACAGAAAATAGAGAAAGACCCCTCCCCAAATAAATTTATAAATAGCTCTTAGGTTTTTGATTGGATGAGTGTTTTGAGCACTTCCAAAGAAAGGTAATAGACGGTAGCAACTTTCCAGTCGTAATCATGAGCACTCTGTGAATTCTTCTGTCCACAAATAGGTCGCATGCCCTCTTCACTATTTAGCAATTATTTATAGTGTCATATGTAGGAAATCAGAAGAATGGCAGCGCACCAGAGACATTGATGGAGCTGAGATACAGACTTCAGGGGTTGAGCCTGGGTTCTGGTGAGCATCTGGGTTATTGGGTATCCATTAGCAAGTGTTTGGAATGATTTTGCAGCAGTCAAAAGCCCTTCCAGTGAGGATCGATCTCTCTCTCTCTCTCTCTCTCAAAATTTGTTTATTTATTTTGAGAGTGAGACTGAGCAGGGGAGAGGCAGAGAGAGAGGGAGACACAGAATCCCAAGCAGGCTCTGCCCTCATACCCACGAACTGTGAGGTCATGACCTGAGGTGAAACCAAGAGTCTGACGCTTAACCGACTGAGCCACCCAGGTCCCTCAGTGAGGATCTCTTGTAGGGATAGATACATGAACAATAACGATAACTGAAGTGTATGTCAGAGGGGTGTGCTTTAGCATCTGGAATACCAGTTTTAAAGGTTAATTGCTCCTGGTGATTTGCCCCAGGTCCCCCATGAATTTTATGCGATTTAATGCCAAGATTAAATGGATATCCCATAAGTAAAATCCCTAACAGGGCCAACCTATCTCACTGAGAGGTAGACAAGAGACTCTTTGTAATTCCTATTGAGCTAAAAAATGAGAAGAGCCCAGTATTTTTGCAATTCATCCATGACCTCAGGAACAAAACGGGCTCATGCAGATTAAGTAACTTGAGCAAGGTTACACAGCTAGTAAGCAGTAGAAAAGGTCTCCAAATTCTGTTGGTATCCAAATCCCATGCTCTTAGCCATCTGTCTTCCCTGGATTGAGAAATATCAACTGTAGGACAAGCATCCACAGGATGTGGGAGTATATGAGGTTAGTTGGGCATGGGCTGGGGGCTGAACAAGCTTCTCAGCTTCAGCATTTACTTACAGATTTTCTTGCTGGTTGTGTTGATGGTGAAAGTGATCCATTCACATACTGTGATTGTTGCCATTAATGACTAATAGTCCTGTATGAGGTACAAAAGTAGGAAAGCCATATTAAGCAGTGTACTAAAGTTCTCTTTCTAGAACTTTCTATAAGAAATAGGTTGGGGATCTGAACATTGTTGTGTGGAAATTAATGTTTTGAGATAGTGGCAAGAGCCAAAAAAGGGAATTTGGACATAGGGGTTCTACCCTGGAGCAACCAATAACTCATTCTGAGATATATGACAGATTGTTTACTCTCTCTAGACTTCAGTCACAGAATGGATCAAATGATTTCTTTAAGGCTCTTTTGGTCCTTACATTTTGTGATTCAGTTCATCAAAGATAATACGATAGTGTTGCCGGTAATCCCCTCCAAATCTTGGTATTGTTGCTGCTAATCAGCCTCATCCAATTATTAACTATAATCAGCAATACTTATTTGGTGTCTCTAATATCCTGAGTATTTGCATTTCGTTAAGAAATTTTCTGTGACTATATGAATTATGAAAGAGAGTTACTAAAAAAAAAAGAGAGTTACTGATAGCAAGAAGAGGGCTGGTTTTGACTGTAGTTTGCCATTTCCTTGTAGGCAAGTAGAACATATTTTCTAAATCTGACTCTCTACACGTGCTGACCACATATAGACTGTCAGAAGAGGTTTAGTTTAAAATGATGACATGGAGATTACCTTCTAGAAGACTCATTTAAATGTTTAGAATTTCAGTTAAGCATCGAAACTCTTGGTTTTGGCTCAGGACATGATCTCACGGTTTTGTGAGTTCAAGCCCCGCATTGGGCTCTGCACTGGCCACATGGAGTCTGCTTGGGATTCTCTGTCTCTGGCTCGCTCTCTGACCCTCCCCCACTCACACTGTCTGTGTCTTTATCAAAATAAATTAATAAACTTAAAAAATTCTTTAAATTCTTTGACTTGGTGGGCGCCTAGGTGTCTCAGTTGGTTAAGCATCCAAATCTTGATTTCAGCTCAGGTCATGATCTCATGGCCATAGTGGGATCGAGTCCTGCCTTGGGCTCCACACTGAGCATGGAGCCTGCTTAAGATTCTCTCTCTCTCTCTCTCTCTCTCTCTCTCTCTCTCTTTCTCTCTCCGTCCCTCCCCCTCTCCCTCCCTCTGCACCTCCCCTGCTTGCTGGCGTGCGAACACACACTCTCTGTAAAAAAAAAAAAAAAAAAAAAGATGCTTAGTTTTGAGCAACCAGAGTACAGGCATATGTCACTTAGATTTTCACCAAACAACCCTGGAAATCACCTGGCTCAGTCATCCATGGGATCACACCTCTGTCAGGCACTCACAGGTCAGGCCTGGAAAGGACTGTGGATGTCTTTGCAGAGATTCCTTAGTCTAACTCTGCCTACTCCTTACTTAGCAGGTATCCTGGGGTCATTGGAAGCCTCCTCATCTCACTTCCTTGTGTCCTTGTCCCCCAGTGCCTTTGGAGAGAGCTTAACCTGAGCATGCCCTCCATGTTTTACAGGCCGGCGCAGGACATCTCATTGTCATTGTCAGCCAGGAGCTCAAGGCCCCACAGTCCTACTTCCTCCCTCACATCTGGGGGTTCCCTGCCCTTGCTGCAGTCTCCACCAGCCACAAGATTGTCTCCTGCCCAACACCCCTTGGTCCCAAACCAAGGAGACCACTCAGCTCACCTGCCTAGGCCACAACAGCATTTCCTTCCGAACCCGGCTCACCAGAGTGATCATTACCGGCTCTCTCAGCCTGGCCTGAGTCAGCAGCAGCAGCAGCAGCACCACCACCACCATCACCAGGAGCAGCCGGGAGAAGCCTATTCAGCTATGCCTCGGGCTCAGCCGTCATCCGCTTCCTATCAGCCAATGCCAGCGGACCCCTTTGCCATTGTTTCCAGAGCCCAGCAGATGGTTGAGATCCTGTCAGATGAGAACCGGAACTTGAGGCAAGAATTGGAAGGATGCTATGAAAAGGTGGCAAGACTGCAGAAGGTGAGGCCCCCGTTTCGGGGTATTAGAGTTGTCTTTCAATCTTATTTGTTTCAGATCGATGCAAGTCTCCACTTGTTGGTGCCTGCATGACTTGTGGGAAGGTCTTCTGAAAGTTAGATATGGATCAAACTTGGGGAAAGGCTTTCTGCCTAACTTTCTAGGGGAAGTCACATTTCACATTTATGTGAGGAGAAAAAAAAAACCCATAGTTACACAGTTTTCCTAAACACCATAGCCCTAATATAAACTTGATTGATTGTTTCCAAATTCCAAAAGGCAGAGAAACGTCTTCATAAGGTCAAGAACACTGGCCATTACCTATATAGGTGAACATCCTGCCAGTCTAAAGACATTTTGCCTTGATTTTATCTTTCCCAATACTGAATTTGGATCTTCAACGTGAAACCACAATTCCTACAAAAATCTCACCACTGTATTTACATCCAGATCCAGCCCTGCCTTATTCTGGAAAAGGCTTAGAGCACTTTTCCAAGTGGGAGTTCTCATTGTAAATCTTTTTCAGCACCTCTTCTTTTTCCTGCTTTTTGCTTTGGTTTTTCCCTGCAGCTCACATTCAACATCTGCTGTCTCTCTTTCTGGTGTGGGTGGGGGGCAGGAGGGGCTTAGCACCACAGCTGGGTGACAGGTGCCAGCCCTAGGCTGAGGAAGTAGAAAAAGGGCTGTATGTCCCATAGAGGCATAGAATTCACAGGCTTCCCTGCCCACCCACCCCCAACCGTCTCCTCCAGCTGGGACTTTAGCTCTTGAGCGCCCTAAGCTAGGAACCTTAGCTCTTGGCTTCCAGTGGCTGTCAGTGAATAGGGTTATGCCTTTGGCAGCCTCCTTGCAGCGTTTGTCATTGTGGAGCTCATGTGGTTTTGATCTCCCGACAATGTGAACTGTTCAGGGGAGGTGAGGGTGAAGGTGTGGGAGGGAGAGGACATTGCCCGGTTTTGTTCAGCAGCTCTGTCCTTAGGAGACACCCGGGACTGGAAATTTCAGGGGCCCGAATGAAACTGAGAATGTGTGTTTACACACAGGTAAACAGGTCTGTGTCCTACAGTTGAGGAGGGCTTACTGTCAGCTGAGGTTTTTTTTTTTATGTAGCAACTCCCCCCCCCCCCATAGTATTCCAAAATCTTGATGGGATTTGTTGGGGTTGAGTGAGAACTGTTTCTCCCTGGTTTTGCCCCCCACCGCCAATTTTGCATTTTCTCTCTCCTCTCATTTAACTGTACACCCCGCCCCCAATCACACTGGTACAACAAATATAACCATACTTGCACACTCAAAGAAGGCTGGCCCAGTTTGGCTGATTGGGGTTGATAGATACCCCTCCCCAAACTCTATTCAGGGTGGCCCCAGCCCCATCTCTGATGCAGTAATTGGCAAGGTGGGTGACAGGCGAGAGAAGCAGAATTGGATTTGTGTTGTTGTTTGTTGTTGCTTGTTCCCCAGCCAGGGGAAAGGTGCCTCAACCAAGTGTAATTGGCACAGCGTGAGTGTTGGGGGAAGTGAAGGCTGACCCAGTGCCGCAGTGGATGAGAGGCATAAGTTGGGCAGAAGAGGGAAAGGAAAGTGGGAAGACTATGGTAGGTATCAGCTGGTGCTAGACAAGATAGGAAAGGCCGAGGCTCGTGAGGGGAATAATTAGACAGAAACCCCCCACCACCTCCCTCTTCCCTGCCCCTACCATTCTAGACCAAATCAGGGGATTCGCCCTTCTGTGACTTCTTTTCCTGGAAGGTCCTGTGGATGGCAGTAAAACTGGCCCATTTGGGGGGTACAGCATCTACACAGGGGGTAGGGAAAGATTTGGTATCAGATCTCGAAATAGTACTCAACAATTTGAGTGAAGGGACTGCCCTCCGAGTGTGGCATTCTGTGGGGGGACTGGAAAGCTTTGCCTTCTCAAGGCTGCCCAGAGCCGACTAATACCAAGCCTGCTCTTTCAAATGGAAATGTTTATTTTCTGTACCGAGCACTTGAATTTCATGCACAAGCTTTATCGGGCCCAGGCCTCGCAGATCTTGTCTCAAAATGCCATTCACCAGTTTTCACCTTCTGTGCTGCTATCTTGGTGCCATCTGCAAAGAGAAAAACACTCTGGAGTCCGCTCTTTTCTGTGGTGTAAGCCTCATTTGTTTGCAGGCAGTCCTGCCTCAGGCATCATTTTGGAGCTGGGGCAGGTGGAATCTGAGTTGTTTGGTAACCCAGCCTTTCCCCCAGTCTCCCGCTGGAGGCCTGATACTTCTCTCCAGAAAGTACCCCGAGCTGTGTTAAGGAGGGTAGTGGAAAACTGAGAAGGAATGCAGAATGGTTATAGGAGTCAGATTTAATTTGCAAATTGCTTAATAGGCCATGGGGTTTATTTATCTTATACAAATCATATGCAAATATCTCTGTGGCTATTTTATGTGCAATGAAGCTATACTGGTCTAATTTCGTATTTTCTTCCCAATTCGGGCTGATTTGGGGCAAGACCCTTTCTCTGTGAGGTTTTGTGTGTTGTTGGGTTTTGTTGTTGTTGTTATTTTGCATTCTACAGGATTTGCCCTGGTGTCATAAAACACAACTCCGATCACAAATTTCTGTTGAAAAATCCATTCCAGTCTCCCACTATGGGAGAAAGTCCAAATACCTGGCATTAAAGCCCTTTTATGATCTGACTCCAGTCTATCTTTGCAGCCAGATCTCACCAGCTTCCGTCTGTGTACCCCACAGTGTCCAGCCAAATGAGACTATTGGTCATTCTGGGAATGCGTTCGCTCACTCAGAATAGAATACCCTTCCCCTCACCTCTGCTTATTGAAATCTGACCCAGCTTTCAGGATCTGACTAGAAATGCCACCTCCTGCCTGAAATTGTTCTCCTCTCCACTCACCCCAACCAGGAATACCTTTTCCTCCCCTGCACTTTTCTGGCATTTACTTCTACTGTCCTGAATAATGCATCCTTCTCTATATTCTTGTTATTGATTAGAATGAAAGCTCCTTGAAGGGAAACAGTAATGCCCTCACTCATATTTACACACCCCACCGTATTTTTAAAATGTTTATTTATTGGGGTGCCTGGGTGGCTTAGTTGGTTAAGCGTCTGACTTTCGCTTAGGTCATGATCTCACGGTTTGTGGGTTCGAGCCCCGTGTCGGGCTCTGTGCTGACTGCCAGCTCAGAGCCTGGAGCCTGTTTCAGTCTGTGACTCCCTCTCTCTCTGACCCTCCCCTGCTCACACTGTCTCTCTCTCTCTCTCCTAGAAATAAATAAAACATTAAAAAAATTTTTTTAAATGTTTATTTTTGAGAGAGAGAGAGAGAGAGAGAGAGATTAGCAAGGGAGGGCCAGAGAGAGAGGGAGACACAGAATCTGAAGCAGGCTCCAGGCTCTGAGCACATAGCCCAACGTGGGGCTCGATTTCACGACCCATGAGATCATGACCTGAGCCGAAGTTAGATGCTTAACCGACTGAGCCACCCAGGTGCCCCTACCCACTATGTTTTTAAGAGCTCTGTAACTATTTGGCCCTTGGTAAAGGTTTGTTAGATTGAACTGAACTACTGCATAAGGCTGAGGCTTAGAGTTTTAAGGTTTGCCTCTGCCACTAACTCGATCTCAGAAAGGGAAGTTTTACTTTTCTGTCTGCTAAGATGGAAAGAGGTGTCCTTGTGAAGGCAGATATTCAGGCAAATTGAAACAAACATGGGAAAGCCCTTTGGAAACTCTGGAGTAATGTTATCTGTGTACTATATACATTATTAATAGTATTTTCAAAATTAAGAACAATTCTTATGCAGAAATGAAAATCATTTCTAACTGTACTGATGAAATTTATTCTCCTACCACCTTCTCTGAAGAAGGCAGAAATGGTATTCGTTTTTAACCTGTGAATTAGTTGCTGAGCTGAAGGTTGACTTTAGCAATCCTTCTGGGAAACTTCTCTCATCTGACTATGTTATGCTGGTGTCTGGGCCATTTGTAAAGCCCTGGCAGAAGGTTTTATTAAGGGTTTGCAGATAGGTTTCCAGACCATCTTTCCCACTAAGTTCCTAACATCCCCACTATCTTTCCTCTTTTTATTTTTTTTCAGGTGGAGACAGAAATCCAGCGTGTCTCGGAGGCATATGAGAACCTTGTGAAGTCATCCTCCAAAAGAGAGGCCCTGGAGAAAGCCATGAGAAATAAGCTGGAGGGTGAAATTCGAAGAATGCACGACTTCAACAGGGATCTGAGAGGTGAGGGACTTATTTCTGAAGCACTGGCCAAGATAGTGAAGGGAAAGTCTGAGGAGTATAGCTTGAGCGTCTCAGGGCTTGACCAGCCCACTGGTATGGTGATGAAATTGCAGGGCATAGGCAAGGCTAAGTTTCAGGGACTGCAATAGAACTTGGTCCCAAGTTTGCTTAATTGAAGTGGGATGAGCTCGTGTGTTAATCAGCTAATATCCCTCCCGGGACTCCTGGACCCTCCTGGCCTGTCCCCACAATCTACACTGCTTTTCTTCCTTTATAGGTTTTGCAGAGGCTTGTATTTGGGCTGTGCAAGCTTGAAATAGTGACATCCTCCAATGTTTCTAGGACTCCCTCCTTGTATTTCTACTTTAACATGATAATACTGAAGATGGTGAGAAATGACCACCTTCATCACCTTCGAAACTGATGACCTGGGGGATGTTATCTTCTGTCTTTGGATTTAGATGATCTTATTGATCAAACGAGACAGCTACACTGGATGCTGTCCATGGTCCCCTTCTAGCTCTCTGATGTCACACGATTTTAAGACTTTATGATAACTTTGGTGCTCTTTTTTCCTGGGGAATGAAAGATGTCATATTCAGGGCTAGATTCCTTCACTGGAATTTAGGATTCTGCACTTAGGTTTTGTCAGTGAGGAGTGAAAGTGTTCAGTACTCACCTCCTCCTTCCCTACCATGGCTTAGTTTTGTTTGGGGTTCCACATTTGCAAATCTGTGTCTGTGTCACCTATTCCTGAGTAACAAGAAGAGGCAGGCTTGTTTTGCCCAAAATCAGTATTTATTTATTTATTTTTATTATTATTTTTTTTTTATCTTAGGAGAGAGAGAGAGAGTGATAACAAGTGGGGTCAGGATAGAGAGAGAGGGAGAGAAAATTCAAAGCAGGCTCCATGCTCTCAGTGCAAAGTCCGATGTGGGGCTCAAACTCATGAACCATGAGACCATGACCTGAGCTGAGATCGACAGTTGGATGCTCAACTGAGCCATCCAGGTGCCCCCGAGATCAATATTTAGCGGGCAAACACTATGTGCTTGGAAGTTTGTATATGAGGACCTGGTTGTTGATTGTTTCTGAATTCCACAGAGCGTCTGGAGACTGCCAACAAGCAGCTTGCGGAGAAGGAATATGAGGGGTCAGAAGATACTAGAAAAACCATCTCTCAGCTCTTTGCAAAAAGTAAGTCTGAAAGCTCCAGCAGCAGGTATGAATGCGTGGTTGCGAGCAAGATGGGTAAAAATATCATACAGTTCTGTTGATCCATCTAGAACAGCCAGAACAGAGTGAATGCCATCGAGGGATTCTTTCTCCTGTTCAGGCATAAAGTTGGGATTGTTGTTCTTTTCCTTCTATGCCAAGAAGGCCGCTTGCCACGTTTAGTCACACCAACATGGCTCCTTCTGTTTTGAAGCAGAGAAGCCCCCTTGAAATCCCTGCTTTTGTCATGGCTAGCTGCAAAGGACCTCAGGGAACATGGTGTCGCTTAATGTTGAAGGGATTTTATTGTTGAAGCCTCCATGTGCTGGCTCCAGGAGAGATGGGATCAACATGCAGGATTGATGATTAGTGTTTGGAATACCTGATCTGCACCTGCGGCTCCCTTAGTTCAACACCCTGTATTATATCATATTGTCACATGTTGGCAGACTCCAACAGTAGCTACAGGAGGACCCGCTGCTAGCCCTGAACTAGTGACTGGTTGCAGAGTTGGAGGATAGGGAGGAGGGCAGAACTATGTCTTCCTCATAATACTGTTTCCTTTGTCTGGAAATACTCCGAGGACCGTGACAATGAACTAATCCTCTTCTTTATCGGTCCCTAATAGACTCCACCCAGCTAGACAATGCCTCATTCTTTCCAATTGCCACAATAAAACCAGCAATATAAACTATGCAGGGATTGAGTCCACAGAGGGAAACAGATGAACTACCCTCACTTCTGCAGATGTCCGTAATTAGTGTTCCCTACCCCCAGCCTCCCTCACTGTGGTTCCCAGCTAGAGTAGTGCATGGTGGGGACTTGTCAGGCCCCATCTTTGCTGGGCCTCCACATGACCCTTTCAAGTCATTCCATGCGGCTTCTAGTCAGCTTTTACAAGTTTGTTTGATCTTCACTTACAATATCCCCCTCCCTTCCCGAGTTGCTCTGTTGTGCTCTGACCTCAGAAGTGGGGCTTTTTTTCTCCTCATTTCCCTGGGCCTCCTGTTCCTTTGTCAGTATGTGTTAGAGGGAAGAATGTAGTTTTTCTGGTGTCATCAGTACCTCGTGAAAATTGTTGTGAAGTTGCCTTTGTGGTGTCACCGTTAACCCTGGAAGTTAGTTCACTGGTGGAGAAGATGGCAGCCTCCCGGGACAAAACAAAACAAAACTAAAGAGAAAATGTATGAATTCTTTCCCTGGATCTGCTAGTTCATATTCCTCCATGTGTGGCAATGGTATTTCAGGTGTCCTACAAGCTATGCTACTGGTTTATAAAATGTGGGAATTTAGTAGGAAAAAAATGTATTCACAACAGGGTGAGAGATTGTCGAATGGAAAAATGGACTCTGCTTAGTAAGCAAGGAAGAAGGCATGACTTGCAGCCCTTTAGTTCTTTTCACTTTTGGGCATCAACAGGGTGCTGCATGGTTGGAATTGGGGTAAGAGCCAAGAAAGCCCTCTTGAAAAGCCTCCCTGGGGAATGTGCTCCAGTTACGTTAGAGAGACCAAACCAGCTCAACCCTAGGAGAAGGCAGTCTCGTTAGAGTTTAGAACAGCCTGACCTTAAGTATGGGCTCCACTGTGTACTCATTTACTAATTGTGAGACCGGGTACAAGTTACTCAAGTCCTCCGAGTCTCTGTTTTTTTTTGTTTTTTTTTTTTCATATACGAAATGGAAAAGAGAATAATACCTTCCTTGCATGACTCCTCTGAGGATAAAGTTAGTACAATACTTGGTATGCAGTAAGTATTCAACAAATGTTCATTTCTTTCCAAATTACAACTATATGGGTATGTAAAGTCAGAGCAGGAGGGAGCGTGGGGCTGCCCTGTTAAAGTTTCTCTTACAAACTTAAGTATCACGGTCTGCAGAGGAAGGGCACCTTAACCTCCAAGTGAGAATCAAAATGGTTCCTTTGCGTTTCTGGTATGAGGTCTATAAAAGGGGAGGGACTTAGAAAAGCAGGGGGGATATCTACATGTGTCATGGTCATTTGTACCTCCAAGGCAATCCTGGATTTATTTCAATTAGAAAATAATGCTAGTGAGTAAAGAGTGGGATTTGAAGTTTTATACATTCTATGGAATACCATTTTTAGATTGGTTTAATATATTGTCTTGAGGAGACAGCTGGGAAAATTTTGGGGGGCTCAATTGTTCTTTTGCCAATATAAGACCGCTTGAGGAAATAAAATTGAAGACCCAAGCTTGTCTGCTCTCCTGTGTGTGTGTGTGTGTGTGTGTGTCTGTGTCTGTCTGTGTGTATTCTTTGCATAATACCTTTCAAAAACATTTTTACATACACTTTCACATTGCTTCTGTATAACAACCATTATTAAGTGACTTTTCTGAGTTTACATAACAAGTTTGCAGTAGAAACAACGATAGGGTCCCGATCTCGGGTATCCTGGTTCATTTAGCTGTGTGTTAGAGGATATCTAGTAGGGTATGATTGTCAGTCTTGCTTAGGTAAGCTTTTGAGCCAGCTCCAGAATGGCGGTATTGATAATTCATGTCTTGATAGATAAGGAAAGCCAGAGGGAGAAGGAGAAGCTGGAGGCCGAGCTGGCCACTGCCCGTTCTACCAATGAGGACCAACGACGACACATTGAAATCCGAGACCAGGCCCTGAGCAACGCCCAGGCCAAGGTGGTTAAGCTGGAGGAAGAGGTATGTGTGGTTTCCTTAGGTAGAATATGAGCCCCAAGGAGGGGGAGAGCTGGAAAATCAGGGGCACTGGGGACTCCCCATTTTGGTGAACTGGCAGCTATGCTATCCCCCAGCATGAAGGTACCATATGCTACTTCTACTTACAGTTGTCCTCATGTGAGTGGACTTTGATTTTCTTCTTCTTCTCTGCAAGTCCTTTCCTTTGGTTCCAGAATAGAAAATTACCAAGGTCAAGAAGTAATTTCCATTTGCTCATTCATCTAATAAACTGACAACCCCCCTCCAAGTTCTTACTATGGACCCAGCCCTGCCTTCGGCCTGTGACAGATACATATTCTTTTAAAAATTCCTGCCCTTATAGAGCTTTAAAGCTTTATTTCAGAAGGGCTAAAAAATGACTCCAGATATTTTAAAATAGTCCAACAATCTTAAAATCAAAATGGTCCTTGTCTCCCCATGCTCAGTGGGAAGTTGGTCCTCTCGGGTTAAAAAAGAAAGAATCTTGATGGGTAGGCCTCTCTTCTAGGATTTATTTTGCAGATTGGTTTTGAAGTAGAAGCAATCTTGAGGGGCTCTGGGACAGGATGGGTTCCAGGGAAAACTTACAGTTTATGGCAGGCCAGGAACTGCGCCCTGGGTCTTACTGGCTATGTGAAGGGGAAAAAGTGTCAGTTATTTGTGTGCAAGAATGGGGTCTTTCTTTGACAAATACAAGGGCCCCCCAAATCCTAAGCATATGATAAATGTGCATCTGATTAGTCTTGATGTGGATGTTACTCGATTGCAACACTGAACTGTGTTCATCTGAAAGAGAAGGAATATTGCTGCTGGCCTGTCATTAATTAATCTTGGGTATCCGTTGTCATTGTATTGAAGTACTACTAAGGCTTCAGTGTTTTGTACTTCAGGGAATGGTTTGTTCCAACAAAAGTGGATGCCAAAGTGTAACTTGGTGAAGAAAATTTCACATCCCACTAGTCTAAAATTTGAATGTTTTTACAAAAATTTTTTAATGTTTATTTTTGAGAGAGACAGAGTATGTGATGGGGAGGGGGAAGAGAGAGAGAAAAAAAGAGACACAGAATCTGAAGCAGGCCCCAGGCTCCGAGCTGTCAGCACAGAGTCAGACACGGGACTCAAACCCAGGGGCAGCAAGATCATGACCTGAGCAGAAGCCGGACACTTAACCGACTGAACCACTCAGGCGCGCCTAAAATTTAAAAATTTTTAAGACAAAAAATAGCCTCCATTGTAACAAATTGAAAGCTTTATAAACTTGAGACCAAAAAAAAAAATGTTTAGTGACCAAGCCCTCAGCGTTGCAGCTCTTGCATGTGCGGTGTCTTTCCTACCTTCATTCATGACCTGCCTCCGTTCCCTCAGGAAGAATGGTTCTAGTACCTAGAGATCTCCTGACTCCCGGATACCTTTTGCTTTTTTGGGATGGGAATTAAAACACTTGTTGGAACTGGGTTGTGGCTTCATACATTTCCAGTAGGTGATGTTGCCTGACCTATGATGTCCTTGACCTGACTTATGTCATCATTAAACTTCAGGTTGTATAAAGTCTGGCTAGTGTCCTGCTTCATTCGTGGTCTGCATCAGAAATATTGAGTTGCTTTATTGAACATGAGGAATATTCGTGTATGTCTGGTATCCAGACCTCAGGAGCACCCCGTTTAACCTTGTGCTACTCCTCGTATATTCTTTCCCCTCTCCCTTTTGTGAGGAAGTCGCAGAGTCAATGACAAGACAAGGATAAGACTGTATTCTTTTAGAGAAGGGAAAAGAGACTGGCTGAGAAGTAGCTGGCTGAGGGTCACATGGCAAGTGTCGGGTAGAGCCAGGAATAAAACTGGAGTCACATGACTCCCTAGCCCATGAATTCCCTAGCCCTTGCTGCTTGTCTCCCCATCTGAATCATCCTTTGGTTCCATTCCCAAGGAGAAAATGTGGGCGCTTGTTGTTCAGATTTAGTAACCCCTGCATCTTTTCATTTAAAAAAAAACACAAAAAACCTCTTCACCCGTTAGGCCCCTCTTTTTCAACAAGAAGCTTGTCCAGCCTGCTTCGAGATTTGGGTATATATACACAGCACTGATGCCCTTCCAGGATGCGGGCCCATCCAGTAGAAGATAAATGGGGACAGAGACTCTGCAGCTCTCTCGGTTTGCTCTGTCCTAGGGCTCAGTAGTAACTGGTTGTTAATCATGAAAATAATATACATCTAAGGAGAGGATGTTAATTTGTAGTTCCCACTGGGCAGCCCTCACTGAAACAGTTGCCTGAAATATATTTCTGGCTTCAGACTTCTGAGGCTTTTCTGGGCATTTGTTCCAGAGATATTTAGTCGTTTTCCAGGGCCGGGTCCCCAAAACACGTAGATTGACAGTGTAAAAAAGAAGTTCGCAAACTTGGGCTAGGTTTGAATCGTGGCATCTAGCGGCCAGATATGTCAAATGAACTCATCAATTATTGTCAATTTTTTAGCCTTCGTCCAGCTTGCGCTTTTGCTCAGAGGCTAGTGGTTGGGAAATTCTGAGTTGCTGTTGCTACAAGAGGTGGAACATTTGATGGGGAGAGCAGGCTGGGAGCCTTCTACCCAGTGGAATCACAAAGGCAGAGGCCATGTAATGTCTTCCAGACTCTAGCACATGAAAGGGCTTGAAACCACATCTCAAGAAAAGTCCACTGATTGGTATTTTCTTTCTTTCTTTTTTTTTTTTTTTTTAGCAGCCTATCAGAGATGGCTTTGCTCCTACGTGGTGTTTGCCTTCTCTCCTCTATAATAGTCAAAGGAAAACATTCCTTTTCCTTATTCTCAAATATAGGAAGTGATCCTTGAAGTTTGGCTTTTCTGCTGTGACTCCATGCCCACTAGGCTCATTCTACCTGGTGTCAACTTTTTAAGTATGAGACATTAGAGAAAGGGGCTCTGGAAATAATCTAGTAAGGAGTCTTCACTGTTCACAAAACTAGTGAACATCTCTAAATCAGGAAAGGGTATTCATGAATAGAATCTGTATTTCTCTATCTGTTGGAGATGTAAAGTCCTTTTGGAAGGCAGAAAGATATGTCAGACATTTGCCTATGTCTTATATAAACAGAGAATTAAGTTATGGCTCACAAATGGCACCTTGAATTTTTCTTAGAAGTTCTTCCAGGGGAAATATCTGTAGTCTGCTTTGCAAAGGACAATTAGGGAAATTTTCCCAAATTAAGTCATTTGTCTAAGGAGTATGTTCTTAGCCTGCTAAGTGTCAGGGCAGGTCAATACATATATCAAGTTATTATGTTGTACACCTGAAAATAATATAAGGTTATATGTCAAATATATCTCAATTAAAAAAAAGTCAGAGAAAGATTATGACTACTTTAACAGTTCCAGGACCCTTGCATGCATTTATGTCTTTTTCTGTATGAAGTCCTCATTTAGATGCTTTTCCTGAAATTCAGTTTATTTTTCTAGTCCCATTAAGTCTCTTGCCCATGATAGTCTACATTCACCGTGCTCTAAGCTCTATACAGAAATGTGCCTCAGGCTTACAGAGAACTTTCTCCCGTAGTCACAACTTCCTTCTTCTTCTACGCTCAGCAGAGATTCTCTGGTCGACCCCACTCTGTTGACATCAGGGAAGGTATCTTGCTGGAACAGGGCTAGCACTTTTACTAGAGAACAGACTTGTCTTGGTTTTTTCTTTCTTTCTTTCTTTCTTTCTTTCTTTCTTTCTTTCTTTCTTTCTTTCTTTCTTTTTTTTGGTGATTCACTATGATCCAGGTCTTGCCACCAATCGGCAGCCTATGCAGCAAGCAGCAACCAAGGTAAATGGTGCCTTTCCATCCTTGCCCTTATCTTTCGGGACACGTAGGTCCTATTGAAGTGTAGGCTCATTAAACTCCAAGTCAAAAGAACTCTGTGTCCCACAGCAACCATGGTATTCTCCCATTCAAAGAGATCTCCCCCACCTCCCCTCCCCACCCCTACTAATTTGACCTCACTGGAGAGTTTCGACAGATGCCTGGCATATCCACTCACAAGGCTCAAGGCAGCCCAGGCTTCTGGCTGGCTACTGTCTTATGATGACCCAGAGCCGAGCCACTGCTTGGGTAATTGTTTCAGGGATGGTGGGAAAAAGACCCTGGCAAGATCAAAGAGGGAAGATGCTGCGGGTGGGCTGCTTACTGAGAAGAGTGCACTGGAAGGGACAGAGCAGAATGTGGGAGTGCTGGCAAAAAAAAAAAAAAAAAAAAAAAAAGCGAGTGAGCCTTGTTCTTTGGCTTTAGGCTAGAATGACGGCCACAGAGATTCAGGGTAAAGGGGCCAAGTGTTAACCTTTGCTGAACTATGATGGCTGGTGATGCTTTAGACATCGCAGTGATAACCCTTGGTGGCAGTGCGTTTTCCAGTGTCCTTTTGCCACTCCACTCAGTTCTTCTAAACAACATTCACATTGTTTCCCTCCATTTCCACTATTAGTCTTTATGGCTGACAATTTCTCTTATTTCTAGTTCCCTTGTTACTTACTTGATTTGTCATTTTGGTTTGAGAGATGGACAGTTTTACGCCATCCTCAGTATCATAACTGGTCTCCTTTCCCGGTATTAGAGGAAGCTGTGCTAGGCATCGACATTTATGTCTCATCCAAAATAATCTTCAAACGAATAGGATTTTGTTACTAGTAGGTAAAACTCACACAATAGTTCGCTGGATTATAAAGTATGGACAGAAGATCTGAGGGTACTAATTATGTGTGCACTTAGAGGGTTGATGGGAATTCGGATAAAGTACGTTATCTCCCCAAGAATCTTCCACAGTGTTCTGCTGATGAATTATTGACTCACTTGAAGGTCATTTCATCTAAGGATGATATTTCCCATATTTAAGGCTGCATATTTTATTGAAGTAGGTGTTGCTCCACCCACTATGTTAAGAAATTATGTCTCCACCCCAAATAGAGATGGAACGAACTCTCAGAGCTTGATTTTTCTCAGTTTTTTCC